AGGTCAAGCATAATGCCCTTCTGATAAATAAAGCCTTTGCTGAAGGAAAAATAAAACAAAACAAAAAAGATAATAACTTACAATTTAACATACGTATTAGTCTGATAGGAAGATTTGGGCTTCTTTTGGAATTTATTAGACTTAATTATGTGTAAAACAAAAGCAAACCAAAAACAAAACAAGAGTCATGAGTTGCATAGTTTATTGTAATATCTGCCACTGGTGATTATTGTGCTTTTTCCCAGGAAAGGGGAGGAGAAAACTTTAAGATTAGCAAAGAGCTATCTTGAGTGGTTCTGTGAGAAGCAGGAATATGCTTTCGCTGTTAGCCAGTGAAACTGCTTTAGTAGAAACCAAAATAAGATTTTGCCCATTGAAGAATAAATCTAATTATTTCTGTCAGAAATCGCACTCCCCACCAACCTATGAAACAAACAAATAACAACAACAACAACAACAAAAACTTAACACTCAATATGTCAAGTGAGAATTTTACTTAGTCTTGAATTCTCAGAAGATGGACTAAAACTAAAAAGAGATGAGTATGAAGTGCTGAAAACAAGAACTATGGTAAAGACACCTCCTTTGAAAATAAGTTTAGAGTTGTTTGTTTGTTTTGCTTTGATTTGGAACACCTCTATCTGAGGAGCTCTTTTCCTGGAATAATGAACCATACTTGCTTATTTTCGTATATTGTATGTGTATGTGTGACTATGTGTCACACTTGTGTGTACTTATTTTTCATTTTGATGTATGTGCTTCTTACGGGAAAGTCATCATTTTAAAAGTACTCAATATGAAAAACAATTGTCACTAGGAAGATGGAGAACATGATCATTTGCTCTAAAAACTCTGAAATCTTTAATCTCCATTCATCTGTGTAATGACTTGAGATTTTGATTTCCATGAACTCAAATTTGTGATGTTATCTAGAAATTTTGCCCATGAACTTTAATATAGCATTCTTTGACTTGGCCTTCTTTGCTTACCTCCTCGTTCAAATTTCACATCATGACCCCATGTCCCCATTTTGGATGATGTCTATTAAATCTCCTGCACAAACCAAGTCACTGATTATTCAGACAGGGTCTTTCCATTGCCTCAGCCCCACTCCCCTTTCCCAGTACCTTAGGGTGACAAATAAATGGGCATAATTGAATATAGAAGGAGATGTAAATAATAGGAAGGCTGTGTTCTTTGAACTTCCATACCAGATTTCTGTCCAGGGTAATTTAGAAAAAGTTTTCAACCCATAAAGAAAACTAGCAGGATTCCATCTGCATGACAATAAGTAAATCAAGACTAGGATTATAGCCCAGAATTAAGCTTCAAGCTAACCCATCTCATAAAGGCCTGCTTCTTATCTGTAGCTGCATCTGAACCTTATACACTTGAGGGGAAAACAACCTACCATCTAAGTGTGTCACTTATTTTGGCAAATGGCTCCTTTATAAACCCAAGGGCAGCATATATTTAGTGTATGGGTAGTTGCATGACTAGAGTAATTTTAAGCTAATTGCTCTTAAAATTTCTTCATTTCAGCAGGCCTGTAAAAACAATAATTATTATGGAGAATAATTTTGCCCATGTAGTACTAGAATGGAACAAGCACCTATACTGAGAGCTTTAAAATATGGGCCCATAAGAATGTCAAAATCAAGAGCAAGCCTTCCCTTCCCCTTTCCCTTTCCCATCCCCTTTCCCTTTCCCTTCCCTTTCCCTTTCCCTTTCCCTTCCCTTTCCCTTTCCCTTCCCTTTCCCTTTTTCTTCCCTTCCCTTTCCCTTCCCTTCCCCTTTCCCTTTCCCTTCCCTTCTCTTCCCCTTTCCCTTTCCCTTCCCTTCCCTTCCCTTTCTCTTTCTTCCTTTTTTCCTTCCTTCTTTTTCTTCTTCTTTTTCCTCCTCTTTCTCTCCCCCACCACTTTCTCTCAGTGACTACAGTACAGAAAAATGACAGAGAAAATGACAGATGATAGAGGAGAAAGTGATGCTACAAGAGATACAAGACTATCCAAAGAGAAGAGGAGAGAAGAAAATTGACAAAGGAAAAGAAAACTTAGTCTCTTCCCATTCTGTCAGCAAGAAAAGTATTCTGTAAATTGCCTGTTTTTGCAAAGAGACAGAAAACACTGCATATGGCCAATGGCTGCTGTTGGTTAAAGAGACCTAGCAGGGAGGAGTGAAGACAGCAGTGCTATCCCTGAGGTGAAGTCATGGCGGAGGAGTCAGCATGTGGGGAAGAAGGATAGTCAGTTTATATAACATTGGAAAACTAATGATTGAGTTAAAGTTAAAACTTGACTTTCAATTAAAAGTTTTTATCTAGTTCCGCTTGTATTTCTAGCATCCTGAGAGTACTGGCAAAAAGGACATTTGGGGATATCCTCCTAGCCACATGAAACTAAAATATCATCTTGGTAGATTTATTGGAAGTTGTACTAAGAGACATTCCATAGTTTTATAAAACTCAGACCTCACTGTATATGAGTCACACAGACTCACTTAGCAGAGGTAGCATTCTCTTAAGGGTGACAGCCTGGATTGCACTCAGGCCACAGGCATAAACATATTTGATTCGGACACAGCATGGTTTACTCTTGAATTTAAAGTTTTAATTTGAATGTTTCTTTAGCCATGAATAAACGCCCCAAATCTAGTGTGTGCAAGCATATGGCAATGTCTCACACAAGTTTTCAGTCTCTCACAGGCTCTGAGAGTTGGTAACAATAAAAACAACTTCTTGGTGTTTTTAATGGTTTACACAATTCTTTCACATATATTATTTCTTAAGACTTTTATAATAATGCTATGTGGTAAGCATAGCAGGGAATATAATTATCCCCCTTTGATAGTTGTGGGAAATGTGGCCCAGGCTGGTTAACCAGCCAGCCCAAGGTCATGTCATAGGTTGTTGATGGGGCCAGACAACAGATCCAGATTGCAGCTGTCAGTTGTTCAAATCATTCCACCGTGGTGCTGTGACAGGGCTCTGTTGTTCAGCCTCCTCTTGAGAATAAATTTAAAAATCTTTAAATCACAAAGACCGTATGTACTTACCTTCAGCAATAACAGCAGACCAGGAAACTAGGAAAAATGTGAAAGACTACACTGCTAGGCTTTAGGAGTGATTGTGGTGGAGGCAGCTCGGAAGATACAAAGAAACCATCATTCTCAGCAAACTAACACAAGGACAGAAAACCAAATGCCCCATGTTCTCACTCATAAGTGGGAGTTGAACGATGAGAACAATGGACACAGGGAGGGGATCATCAATGGGGTCTGTCAGGGGGTTAGGAGCTAAGGGAGGCATAGCATTAAGAGAAATACCTAATGTAGATGACAGAGTGATGGATACAGCAAACCACCATGGCACGTGTATACCTATGTAACAAACCTGAACATTCTGCAGATGTACTCCAGAACTTAAAGTATAATAATTTTTAAAAAAGAAGATACAAGGAAAACAAACTGAAGCTCTCACCTGGCACAGGGAGAAAGGAAAGTTCTGGTGCCTGCCTGAGCTAAAAAGATCACTGAATCATCTGCACACATTGGAAGACAGAAAAATAGTTTTAATGGTTATGATTGGCTAGCAAGTGGTATCATTAAGAAAACGTCTAGACTACCCTATTCTCAACCCAATGCCATCTCCTTTCAGCTATGTTGCCAGTTTCCATTACCTCATAACAGGTTTGAGGTTGGTTCTGCACCAGAAGTGGCTGTTACCTTAATAGAAACACCGGATTCCTTCCCAGCATGAGTATGATGTCTGTTGATGATGCCATGACTTAGTTTGTTCTTGTAAGTGCTTGCGTTGGTAGGCTGATATAATTGGGGTTGTGGATGTCAGTTTCCTAGTGCAGGAACACTAAAGAACTCCTGTGCCAAGGTTCTCTTACTTGCTTAGTTGCTTACTACTCTTAGTTCCCACCCAGCAAAATAACTCATGATCTTAAGAGTGCTGAACTACTGAAATAATAATTAGTTACATTTTTTTTCAACAAGTATTTACTGAGTGCTTACTATGTTCCAAGCACTGTTCAAAGGACATTATGTGTGTTTGTTCATTTAATTTTCACAACAGAATGAGACAGTTTCAGTTATTATGATACCCATTCTGTAAATGGAGAAACTGAAGCACGGAGAAGTTAATTTGCTAAGGTTACCTGCTAGTATTGGGAAATTCAAGATTCCAAAACCAGGCAGTCTAAATCCAAAGGATCTGAATAACAACAGGACATAGAAACCCATCTCGAGTAACACTGGAGAACTCAGAGCAAGCGTTTTCAACCTTGTGGGACAGGAGAATTCCCTCAGCCAGTGTGATCTGATTTCCTAAATGAAAATGCACGATTCTCTGTTAAATCTGAATTTCAGGTAACTGATTCTTTTTTTTTTTCCTAGAATAAGTTTGTCCCATGCAATATTTGGGACTTATCTGAAAAAGTATTGTTTATCTGAAACACTAATTAACTGGGTGTTCTGTACTTTGGCAACCTAGCCACCACTGCCACCCTGGTTCACAAGCCTATTCTCCTTATGTATGCTCTTACAGCTGGGCTGTTGGAGTATTCTGGCTGAAATTAGATAATCTCAGAGGTGTTTTTCTGTATCAATTTAGATAAGTAATGCCAACTAAATTGAACTCTCTGGGGTTTCTTCATAGGCCTTCATGGTGAGCTTGAGATCTCTTGACATCTCCCCCTTTCCATTGCCCTCCCCCAAGTAAGCTTCCTGAAAGATGGGACACCTTCACACTCAGGCAAGGAAGTATCTTGAAGGGGGTGTCTTAGACAAAATTGTCTTAGCTGCTCATCTCATATGCAATTTTCCCTAAAATGAGATTTATCACAAGCCGAAGTTTCAAAGTGTTGAGTCTCCTCTTTTTCTATTCAGCAGTTATCAAAGTTTAGAACCTCACCCAAGTCCAGTTTCCTCTCCCATCTCTTTGGAAGTTGCTGTGAACTACAAGAATATGATCTTGCCATCTGATCAATTTTTGATCACTCCAAAGCCAACCTCCCATTGTGTGTGAAATTTTCTAGGAAGTGAAATTTTCTAGGAAGTGAGCCGTATCATGTTTCTACCCTCCAAGCAAGTTGGTGGGTTCTGCACTCCACTCCCTGACAAGTAAATTCCCTGCGGCCCTTCTCAGAAAGAGGTGTATTATGTGTCAGCAGAGACTTATGCCATTGTTACCATTTTAGTGAGATTCTCGTTTATTAAAACTGAGTTTCTACCCTTCACTTTTAGGTCAAGACCACCCAAGGTTTTTACACTGAGCATATAGTGAGCACCCAGGAACTTCTTAGAATCAAATGGAAAGAGCTCTTGTGTGGAAGAACTTGGCTGATGTTTAAGCTTCTTGACAGGTAGTGGCAATTAGGGAAAAATGATCTCCAGACATGTTCCTGTGGAACAATTGGTAGAAAGGTTGGCATCTAACTGGCATGCTTCTGGTGTCATTTCTGCTATCATAAGGAGGCAAAGTAGGACCTAGGAATAGCAAGAGCTCTTCTGAAAGTATACGGCCCAAGATCTGCATCTTTGAAGGCGCCAAGAGATCTGAATATTTTAAAAAATTATTCTGGAAACTATTTCTCTCTTTTCTGAGGGAAAGAGGGCAATGAAATTGCAGAAGTAGAATATTAGTTTTCTGTCACATTTAAAACCCTTTCAAGTTCGCTAATTAAATTATACCTTCCAACAGAGAATGCAAACACAATTTCAGGTTCTAATCTCTTGGTAATCAAGTGTTCTATTATTAATGTCCTCTTCCTTTTTCTGGGCTTAATTGCTCATTGTACTACATGTGGCATTGATTAGCAGTAGGAAGAGTGTGTTCTGTTTTGTTAGCTTGTGAGAAAAGGGACTATAAAAAGGCTCTGAATCAGAAAGCAAGCTCCATCCAGCTGTGATATGGTGTGCGAGGGAGGGGGTCTATGTCTGAGGAGGCAAAGCCAGCCAGCTTGTTAAGTTAGAAATAACAGCATAACATTCTATATTTGCCTGCAAAACAAACATTCTCAATCAAACCTAACCCAAACGTCACAGGGAGGTTTTTCACATCAATGATTTGTGCAGAACTTTACAGTTTATAACACACTTTTCTGCGGCTTACATTTTGGTTAAACAGGACCATGAATCTGTGAGTTAAACATTTTTACCCAAATTTTACATATAAAAAGTCTGATGCTGAGTAAGGTTAAGTAACCTTTGTCAGGTTGCATAGTTGATGCAAAGAAGCTGGGATTTGAACATAGACATTGCAGTTTCAAACTTTGTACTCTTTCCATTATATTACATTGTCTTCCAGAAACAATCAGTCCATTCAATATAATTCAAACATTTATTGGGTCAATACCATGTTCCCTAAATTCATCTAGGCACTACAAAGGAATAAGAAAATACTGATAGACACAGACAGCTTGTTATAAAGACACCTGTTTGACAATGATGTGTTGTATTACAAATACAAAGTACCAAAGATTCAATCAGGAAGAAAGTACTCAGGAAGGAATAAGCCTTCAGAGGAAGAAGTATTTCAGTGAGCCTTTGAAAGATAAACACATTTTGACAATCAGAAAAGGGGGAAGAGGGAAAGTTCAGAAAGGGTTATAATAAAGCTTGGTGGTAAGAAATTTGTGTTGGGGGAAAATGCAACTTAACACAATTTATGAGATTGTAAAGTACAACAGAGGCAAAGATTGACATGCAAATCTGATTCACAAAAAGAAATTTAATTTTATTATGTAAACAACAAAACTTCAGTTAGTTCTCCTGAAATGTCACTAACACAAAACGTTTTCAAAATGACTTTGTTTGTTTTTTTCTAAATGTAAGGAGAAGAGAGCCAGGAAATACAAGTATCAGCCACTAAGACACACTAGGGGTGTGACTTTGTGCTTGAACAAAACTCTAACAGGAATGTGTATTGTATGAGTAGAGACTCAATAACAAGGCCACAGTTACTTTGTCATCTGTACCTGGAGTTTCCCATTCTGGGTAGAATTTCCTTTCCAAGATTGACCAGATAATTTCCATGATTGCCTCCAACTCTAAACTTCTGTTCTGTATTTTCATAATGTAACTCAGCTTTTGGGGGGGGAAAGTTAATTAATCTACTTTGTTTCTGACTGCTCAGGACTCACTGATTTTTGAAGGAAGAAAGACATTAAGACCAAGGAAATAATTTCTCAGGAGAAGCCCCATTAATTACAGCTCCGCTTATATATACATTACCCGACTGACACACCTTCCTGGGCCATCCATGTTTCTTTCTTTCAGTGACGAACCTGGTAGAATTAAAAGCACTTTCCATTTTTATGATTTGGGGTAGATGATCAAGCTGATAAAGAACAGTGTCTTTTTCCAACTTTTCTTAACAATTCATATTCCTGTTTTCATTTCTTCCTCAAATGCAATTGAGTTCCACACTTTGTACATTCCTACTCCAAATATGTAGCAGAAGGAAACCAGAAGAGAGGTCAAAACCTAGAGATGTACAGGTTCCAGCCTGTTGTAATCTTTTTCTCTGATTCCTACAAGTAGTCCCCTAATGTGGATAGGATGGATTCCACAATTTCTGGCATTTGCTGATTACTAAATTATTGTTTCCTTCTCCGAAGCATTCATTGTTACAGTAGGTAGCTAGCCAGACATGTGCAGGGCAGGAGAGGGCTCTCCCTAACTCACATACACACACCAGCAATGCCAGGTGACCATCAGGTGATGGTCAGGCAGTTTTTAACTGTCTCTCTAGTCACAGCCTGTCAGGGAAAGGCAGTCTCCCAATAGACAGAAACACCTGAAACAGTGATCAGCAGCTTCCTGATGAGATCTCATGAGTTGGGCAAGCGGGCTCATGTATGCATACTAAGAAGCAAAATGGTGGAGTTTAACTGTTATATGACCTTCTAGGAACATTTGACTGTTAAGGGAAGAATGTCCCAAGTGAGTATGCACACAGCTCCAGTAAACACACAGCACATGTGGCCCCTCTCAAGTGTTGGTAGGCTACTGTGCATGGAGACAACCCACTACCAGGGAAGAGAAGAGGAGAAAGGATACAAAACTCCAGAAGTATGCCAATGTATAAAACCCCAAGTCAAAGCTCAAACAGGGAATTTGACTCTCTCAAGTTGCCAGCATGACCCTTCTTTGAATTGCACTTTACTTCCTTTCATCCCTACCCTAAAACTTTTTAATACTTTCTTTCCTGCTCTAAAACTTGCCTCAATCTCTCGCTCTGCTTTATGCCCCTTCAATTGAATTCTTTCTTCTGAAGAGGTAAGAATTAAAATTGATGCAGACCTGTACAGATTTGCTGCTGGTTAATGCTATCCCTCTCCTTAGTGTGGGAGATCACAGGCAACAAAAGATAGTGCAAAATAGTTGTCAAATGCATAGACTCTAGATCAGACTCTGTGCAAATTGTGATTAGTGTGTGATTTTGACAGCATACTTAATTTTCCTGTGCCTGTTTCTTCATCTCCAAATGGGTTACATCTCCAGTAACTTCTTGTAGATTTCTTATGTATTCAATAAATTAATATATATGTAAATAACTCAAAACAGTAGCTTGGCACAGAATAAAGACTTCTTACATCTTTTTATAGAATACTTGGTCATTAATCCCTATAACTGGAATAAAAAGTAGAATATGGTAAATATAAATTGTAAATTTAGTAAATACGGCAATAAGACAAAATAATTTAAAATAGGATATCAAAAAAGAGTGTACAAAGGAAGGAATATTTGAATAAATATTAAATAGATCTGTGTTCTAATTCCTTTAATTTAAAAGTCCTGAGGATGCTGCAGATCTGATGTCATTTTGTCCTGCTGCATTCATCTCATGGATAGCTAAAGTCTTCAAGTCATGTGATATTATCTGGAGGCTCCGTTCCTGTAGAAATCAAGGAGCTCCCCAAATAACTTCTGTGTTATAGGTGAAAGAGTATTTTGATAATTTCTACTGTACCTGTGCTACTGTTAGGTTGGTACAAAAGTGATTGCAGTTTTTGTGAAAATTGCAATTACTTTTGCAACAATATAATAAAATGAAAACATCGCTTAAAGACACCTGTAAATATTTTTCCTTTATTTCTGATAGATGATGTCTTTCTATCTGCCCTTTAAAAAAGAAAATGATTATTCATTATTTTTGTCATGCTTTTAAAGTCTCCCAAATTAGTGTTGAGTATAGCAGTACAAGCTTTCATCCAAATATACCGTGTCTTCCTATTTTCATCACTGCTATGGAAACCACAAATTCAAATGTCACTGATTTTGCTCTAAGAAGGTCATCACCCTTTTCAGTCTACAGTAAACCTGTGCTAAACCCGGCATGGTCATTCTGCATATCTATTTTCCTCTTCATTCTCCCTGCCACTTCTGGAGTTTAAAGCTCCATGATGTCTCATTTGAATCTTTATAAGAATTTCCTAAATGTCCATCTAGTTTATTTTTCATAGTACTGTTAGCTTTATAATATAACATCTGATTGAGTCACTCTCAAAATCCCTTGAAGTTCCCTGTCTTCTATCAGGGGCACTCCCAAACTGCACAGCATAACAAACAATACATTCCCTTTCAACTGCAATAAATCTTAGCAGCTGCATATTCTACTGTGCCAGCCTATACACCCTGTATCCCAATAATACTTAACATTTTTACCTTTTCTAAACACAGCATATATTCAAACTATTTTCACTGTGTAGAATGTATCTCCCTGGTGAGCTCCTCTTTATCTTTGAACACTTCAAATATCACTTAATCAGTGGAAACTTTCCAAGCTGTCCCCAAACACATACTTGCTATTTGCATTGCCATGTTGCACTTCATATACTGTATTGCTTAAATTTGGATGACTATATGAGCAAGGACAATCATATTTCATAAGTTTTTCATGATTTATATTGTTATATTTATATAAAATATATAATATACAAAATAATATACAACTATATAGGTCCTTTGCCTACCCTTCTATTATATTGATGGTCTTTTTCTTATTGATTTGAAAGACCTCTCTATATATTAAGAAAATAAATCAATTTTTTTTGAGACAGGGTATCACTCTGTCATCCAGGCTGGCTGATAGGTCACTGTAACCTTGAACTCCTGGGATCAATCAATCCTCCCAACAAGCCTCTGCAACAACTAAGGCTAGAGGCGTGCAGCACCATGTTGAGATAACTTTTAAATTTATTTTCCGTTCTTTTCTTTTCTTTTTTTTTTTTTTTTTTAGAGAAAAGTTCTCACTATGTTGCCCAGGCTGGTCTTGTTCTCCTGGACTCAAGTAATCCTCCTGCCTTGGCCTCCCAAAACACTGGGATAACAGGCAGGAGCCACTATGCTCAGCCAAGAAAATT